TAGCAATTTCAAGCCGTAGCTATTTGCACCAAAATGGTTCGCGAAGGGCTGGTCGTGCAAAAACTTGCCGTCCTCGGCCGTCTCGAAGCCGACGCGGGCACAGTTCGTCAGGGCTCCGGTGATGCCGGCACCACTGGCCGCCCCGAGCAGTGGAAGCACCGCCAAGGCGAAAGGAAGCACAACCGCACCGGTCACGGCTCCCGAGACCAGGCCCGCCATAAGGCTGACAAAGCCCGGGCCGATTTTCTCTGCCGTCGCCGAGCCAGCGACGATACCGCCGGCAGTTCCAAAGGCTCCTGCAGCAAGCAAGCCGGCGAACACACCGGCGACGAGACCGCCGGCGGCATCTGCGGGGGCAATGAGAGCCATCTTGAGCTTGTCCTTGTAGTCTTTTGCGCGCGACACGGCGATGGTCCTCAGCCGATCTGCTACCAGCTCTTGCGGCGACGGCTCGCACAGCACGCAAAGGTTGAAGCATTGGTAGGAGTTTTGGTTTGCAAGTGCCTGATCGGTGAGCATCCAAAGGTCTCGGACCAGTTTCATCGACTCCTGAATAGGAGGCGTAGTATACTGCGATTGCATCTCAGACACATTTTTCTTGACGTCTTCCAAGACGTGCTCATAATTTTTGTAGTCAACCCAGCTCTTCTGGAATTCGAGAGCTCGTGGGTAGTCGTTGATGCCTTCGACTTCCGCCGTGTCGGAGATCTCGAGCAAGTCGCCCGCAACCAACTTCGAAGCCCGGTGGCCAACCGCCCCCTGGCACAGGAGCGATGCCAAGCAGGCCGCCAGAACGCACCGAGGAAGCGCTGCCATTGTGCGCATCATGAAATTTAGGCTTGGAGTTGACACACACAGTTACAGAAAGAGGCTTCCAGCCCAAATCTGCGGAGGAGCAACGGAGACGTAGAGCTCTTCTTCAGGGCCGCGGTGCGGTGTTCTCGACCGCTCCACCCCTGATTCCGAGAGAGGTGAGGCTGGGGCTCCAACAGGATCATCTGCCAGGGCTCTTCTTGCTTTCCGAGGTCTTCCCCCCCCCCCAAGTCGGCACAAGGGCAGAACGTGACGAGTACGACAGAAGATCCGAATCTTGGAAATCACCACAAGATGTTCAGGTTTTAGAAAGGTTAGTGTCTATAGCCTGCCCCACACCTCCCTCCCAGTAGGAAGGCAGATTCTGAACCCGCAAGCCCTATACCCTAAACTCCAAAGCTTAAGCCCGGAATCCTCAACTTAAAAGTTTCACCCTGTGCCGTAGAAAGTCCTGAACAGCTCGATACCCTGAAGCCTAAGACCACGAACTCAGCCGTTTTTTTGGCACGTGCGGCACGAAAAGGCAGGCGGTCACTCGGCCTCAGTTTAGGTAGAGGTTCGCGGATTCTATAAAGGCTCTATAAAGGTGCCGTAAGGGTCGTATAGGGGGTAGGGGTCTGGGAGTTGAGAATGTTTGGGGTATGCAAACCCTTCCAACAGCCTCAATAGTCGGATCCCTATGAAAACGGAGGCTGGGTATAACTCACGGGGTTACCATCAAGGGTTGTTGAGCTTGAACTGAAAACGAAAAGGGACCGAAAGGACTCGAAGAACTAGAAAAAACTAAGCCCTGACAAAACCGAATCTGGAGGTCTGATCAGTCAGTGAGACTGTCACCGTACTGTGTTCGGCATCCCTAAACATGTTCCTGCCGACCTCTTCGTGGGTCCAAAAGCATCTGAAAGCACAGCGATACCACGACAGGATGGGTGGACTACTACGAACCACTCAGGGGCCTCTAAACTAATTTAGAGAGCCACTTCCTTGAGTTCAGGGTTAAAAACCCTTAATCCCAAGCCCTAAACCCAAGCCCTAACCCCTAAACCCCTAAACCCTAAACCCCTAAACAGTTTAGGGGGTCGAGGTTTCAAAGAGGCCTGATGGGGGTTTAGGATACCTTCTCCTGAGACCTTGAAGCCGCAAACCCCTAGAAAGCTTAAGATTTTGTGTTGTTTTTTGTGGTTTTGGTTTTTGTTTGTATTCTTGGGTCTAGGATTTAGGGGCTTAGGGGCTTAGGGTTTCGACATCTGAAGCCCCGGCATGGTCCAGGAAGAGGTCGACATTCTTCGGCTTCGACTTTCCCGAAGACTCCTGCGCCGAGCTCTCTCAGCGGAAAGTTGGGCTTTAGGGGTTCAGGGTTTTAGCGGTGGGGATTTAGGGTCTACTAAATAGGTAATAAGTAGACTTATAAGTACCCTAAAAAGGAAAACTAATTGGGGTGATAGTACTTATAAGTCAAAAAATAACCATTGACTAAGTCCCCCGACCCTCCAAGTAGGGTTTAGGGCTTTAGGGAAGGACACTGCTTTCGGCCGTTTCGGATGTAGAATCTCTGTTAAAGGGTGCTTTTGTCGAGGAGGGCGGGGTTTCGTGTGGTTCGGTGTTTGTTGGTACCATTTTTTAGACGGGATCAGCCTGCTTTTTGCTTCTTCTGGTGATATAGGGGCCTTGATAATTACTATTTTGGGGGGTTTCCTTATTATAATTATAATACCATGGGCCCCAAAACCCGATTCTAATTATTAAGAGGCCCCTACACTAGGATTGCCCTGGCAAGGGCAACACTGAGCAAAGGTCGTGTCATCCGAGAAAGAGCGCAAGCGGCCCAAACACAGGCGGGCATCAGGGTTTAGGGTTTAGGGTTGAGGCTAAGTTCATGAATTCTGTGTAAATAATTAGAATAGGCTTCCTTTAAAGGGTTACTATAAGGGTTTTTTGGGGGTTGTACAGGGGTGTAGGGCTTAGGGGCCTTAGTGAACAGGGTTTTGGGGCCCGCTAGACTATAATTATAAGAAGGAGCCCCCCAAACTAGTTTTGGTAAATATAGAAGCTAAAAGCTTCTACTAAATCCTAAACCCTAAACCCCAAATCCTCAACCCTAAACCCCTAAACCCTCACCTCACCCCTAAACCCCTAAACCCTAAACCCTAAACCCAAAGCCCTAAGCCCTATATGGGGGTTTCCGAAAATAGGGGACCCTAATCTAGCACCCTTAATAGTAGGATGCTTATTGCAAGGGCCCAAAATCAGGTACCCCTAATTTTCGGAAACTCCCATATGCTTCCCCTGCGGTGGGTTTCAAAAACCAAGCCCCTTTGCCGGCCTCCAGCTCTTGCTCTCGCCGCAGGACGTAGGACAAGGCTGCCTGCTTAGGGTTTAGGGTTCAGGGTTCAGGGTTTAGGATTTAGGATTTAGGGTTTAGGGTTTAGGGTTTAGGGTTCAGGGTTTAGGATTTAGGGTTTAGGGTTCCTGCAGGCTGCCTGCAGCTGTCGACACGATCTGCGGAGGTTTTATTTAAGTTGTTGGTAGAGGGCCGAGGGGAGATCATCAACCCAAAACCCTAAACCGCTAAACCCTGAACCCCTACACCCTGAACCCCAACCCCTAAACCCTACACCCCCAAACCCTAAACCCCTAAACCCCTAAACCCCTAAACCCCTAAAACCCTAAACCCCTAAACCCCAAAAACCCCTAAACCCTAAACCCTAAAGTACCCTTTAAAGGAAGCCTAGGATCCCTACAGTACCCTTTAAAGGAACCCCGAAAACCCCTAAACTCGGGGATGATGGGATTTCTGGC